AGGGTGGACCCTGGCTCGCCCACACGACTTCAAGAGCACCGAACTAAAAGCTCAAGTCTTAGCCTGAGTGAACACCAAAGGTCGCCTTGGGGCAGCAGGTTGCCTTTAGCCACGGCGGACGCGAGTTGCTGGGGATATCCACAACACCGAATCTCATGGACCGTGTGAAGGCCCCGAAGGTGCTGTTTGCTTGAAGGCCCTGTGCAAAGACGGCCTGCTTCATCTCGATATGGTCAAACTCCTCGACAAGGCACGTAACCCACACCATCGGTTCTGCCCCTCTTCCGGCGCGTGACCCGAGGAATTCCGCCTTCGCACAGCTGGATGCATAGGGTGAGCCTTCGCTTATACTCACCTCAAAGGTGATACGGTCGCCACTGAACGATGGATTGGGAAATGAGACCGGGCCATCGTAGGATGCCTTGATCGATCTCAATCCTCCAGGGAGGCTGTTGGTGCCGCTGGAGTACTCCACCTGACATGGACAGGATGTTTGTGGTCGGCTACATGCAAACAGCAGATGCGACACGTGTCTACTGCAAAGAGCCTCGACAACGACGTCCACTCCTCCGGGGATGGTCCAGTTCGTCTCCGATTGAGTACCCGTCGTAGGGAGTGAGGCGAGCAAGTTGGCCATGCTGCTGTCGAACAGCATCTCACTCCAATAGGGCCCAAAATCACCATCGAGATCGAGGAGCTTGTCCGCGTTGTACTTCACCACTCCGGGCCATTCGGTCCAAGGGTCGATCTTCGGCACCTGCACTTCAGGCTCAGAGCTTCAGGGTTGAGGCACCGACACATGAACTCCTGCTCATATGCTGAGTTCCGGAGTCTTTGGCTGTCCTGGAAATATCAACATATCAACTTTTTCGTGTCTGGCTTCATGGCATTTCTTTCCGAAAGATCAGAGATGCTCCTCACGCTCACTGAGACGTCGAAAACTGCAAAGCCAGATCGATGGATGCAAGACTGCTGAACCTCGAGCAAAAGCTGTGCTCCTGAAGATCGAAGCCCTCAACATCCGAGTTTCACAAAGGACGGAGCCTCACGGACCTTCTGGAAAAA